TGCTTTTTGTTAACATATATCTCTAAAATATATATATAGGAAAACGAAAATATCCTACAGCAACGCGCACTTAACTAGTTTCTAAATTTGCAAAGACGCCACAGTACGATGAAACGTATTCGGACTGTCAGTGACCTACTAGCCAAATCCAAGTACGAGAATAGTCACAATGATTTGAAGAATTCACGTGGACTAAAGCACGTTACCGGTAATATCATAAGCACACCAGAGTACACTTTGCTCTTTCGCCAAAAGGGTCTGTACGTCATCGATGACCCACGGATTTATCGGTCATCGTCAAAGTCACGCCCAGTTACCGCGCCGTGTAAACTCGTGTAAAATAGATTTTCATATACCTCGCGATTTAATCTCGATTATTATTTGTATCTTGATTATATAGCAAAAAGTTGAACACGCGAAACGGTTGTTTGACAACTCAAGCTGTGTATCTCATTACAAAGCGATAAATAAGCTATTGATAGACAGAATCGATTAATTTTAGGTTCCATTAAAAATAAAACAACAAGAATCGCTTATTTATCAATCATGAACAAAATAATCGTTTACATTAATTTTGAAGTTTTGAATTTGTTTTAAATTTAACTTTTCTAAGAATTCTAAATTTTAATTAAGTGGCAAAATCTCACGCAACGTTATTTATTTCTCATTTCTCCCGTGACTATCGTTACCTTGAGCAGCGGCACGTCGACGGACGCTTTTATTTCCGCCGGAAACACGGGCGCTCTGGGATCTTGTAGCTGGCCTTCGTCTTCTCGTGGGTGTACTGCTATCCGGAGTTCCACTGCCGCTGTCCCTTTCTCGTTCCCCTCTTTCTCTGTCTCGAGCTCCCGAGGGTGGTACAGCCTCTAACATTTGCTCCATACTCGAAAATCCCGGAGCACAAATCGAAGCCGATCTAGTCTTCCAGCGAGGTGAGTCGTCCGCCATTCTTCTTTCAAATTGCCACCGCTATCCCAGTTTCTTTTCTCTTTTCAAGTCACCGATTACGATCTTAAAGTCTTGCCTTTTATCTGCCGATTTTATCTCTTTTATTTGACTTTCCCGAAATAATTTTCTTCTTTTCTCACGAGCCTTCGAATTTCTTCGCTAAAATATCGTTCTCATATTTCACTTATTGATCACAAAATATTATGGTTTATATTGTTCAATTTATACCGAGCACTATCTTCTTATTTGTGTTCTTTCACATTTACGAGATACGAACATTTGCGGATGCTTTTATTTGCACAGTTTCTTCCAAAGTTCTCAAAGTAGTGCCACGTGTGATGTTCGGAATGTCTCTCTGAGTCGCGGAATATCCGTTTGATTATCGGCAAAGGTTCCAAGTATATATTTGGAGAAAGATATCTTCGTACGAATTGCGTGAAAATGGCACCACGTCACATCGACGTGTCTTGTTTCAAAGAAAGCGTACTTTTGCTTCTACAAATAAAATATAGGAAGAATATAAGAAGTCTTGACCCTTTTTTCTCCGGCCACGTGCGCGCGAATGGAGCTGACGGAGTAATTACGGCCGCGGCAAATAATGCCTCTCCTAAAATCGGTGAAATGCTCGGCGCGTTTATGTTTCCTTTTTTATGCCCGTTTCCTTTCTCTGTCGTCGTTATTCCGTCGGTACTTCCACAGGAAATGAACTTGCGTGTTAATTAGACCAACCCCGTCGATTAATGCCTCGATTATTTCGCGTGTCATGGTTTTTTCACGGCGCAATATAAATATAATCGTGCAGTTTTCTTTAAGATTTGAACATTTATTTCATTTAAAAAGAAATTCAGATGTAAAATAAGTTTTCAAGTGTTTTTTTTTTCAAAATTTTATGTAAAAAATAATTTCGAAAATACAGTTTTATATCGTATGACATTAAACTAAATTATTTCAAACTAATTTTACGTGACATTATGTATACGTATGAGTACATACATGTTAATTGTAGTGGAATAATAACAACATAAATTATTTATTACAACTTGATATAAATAAATTATATATAATATTAATTATACAGGGTGTCCTGTAACTAACAGACCAATGATTAAAGGCGGATTCTCTGACCAATTTGGAGACGATTTTTCCTTAGCAAAAATGTTGAGAAGTCAATAATTTTCGAGTTATAAGCGATTGAAAAAATGGGTTTTTTGAAAACTAAACGTTTTGAAGTTAAAAGTCTAACATAATTACATTCTTCAGTTAATTTCAGGTAGAGTTTACTATAATAAAATTTTAATTTGAGGCTTAGTTATAAAGATACATAATGACAAATATTGGAAAGTTGTAAAAAATGATGACCTTTTTCGACATTTTTGCTGAGGAAAAATTGTTCCCAAATTGACCAAAGAATCCATTTGTAATCGTTGGTTCGTTAGTTACCGGACACCTTGTATATAGATATTATGATATTATATATAATTATTATAACTTGCAATTAGAAAAATTAACTATTTACTCTTTTATCTCATCTTATTTTCAAATTTAAAATATAAATTTGCTCTTTGAAATTAATTTGGGAAGATGATTGTTTGATTTACAATTAGTCACACTTGATTGGAAGGTTTAAGCGATCGGAAACTGCTTCTGATTAAATAAGATAAAGATCGATGACAATGTCAAGTACGTAGTTGGCAGCATCCGAAGTTTCACGGAACTACGATGCAATCGAAAGACAGCTGTATAGACTGTCGAAACTGTCGAAGTTAATGAACAGTGAACGGAATACATCGGAAAGATATCGGTGCGCGAAGATGTTCCGGTAACTATAATCGAGTATTGACAAAAGTAAGCACAGTCTGTACCAGTGCGATTTCGCGACAACAGCTTATTAATGCGCTCTCCCTTGGATGAAGTTATGTTCGTGTCATATAATTTACTTCGAAGCTCGAAAGGGTGCTAAGGAAATTAAATTTAGCTTGTTGTTGAAAGTAATCGTCTTTTTATGCTAATAATATTTTATACGTGTACAGCATAGTTTTATAAAATAATATACAGTCTAATCAATTATCTGTTTGACAAATATTTTTAACACATTTTTAATTAATATGTTCTCAGAAAATTAGATGTATATTTTTTCATTTAGATTAAAATCCAACTGCGTTACACTAATAACGTTGAAACATAAAATATTAATATTATTTTAAGTGATGAATGAGAAAAAGGATACGAAAAAATGTATCTACACATTTAATGTTTCTTTTCATCTGGCTGTTCCTAATTCATAGAATACTCTTATACTTTTTCCTTTTAAAAAAATTATTAATATATTTAAACAGAAAGAAAAAATGAAACATTTCTTTCTATATAGATTATAAGATTACATTTAGTGTCTGCTATTATAGCAATGCAAATGCAGAGAATTCTATTTTACAAATTCTATCTATAAAAAAATATTGACAAAGAAATATCTTTAACGAATGTGTAATGCTGGAACGAGCTTTATTTAAAGTACTGCCCTTTCTCTATGAGATAATATATGCACGCAAGAACGCGTTTATTATAAGCAAGATTAAGTAGAGAAATTCAAGCTTTATCTCTTCTTACTGACAGAAGTGAGAGAAGGTCTTATAAACTTCTCATCGATGTATTGTAAGTTAAATCGATAACTATATCAGCTCTTTACGTATACTCACGTAACATAATTCTGCATTACGACCACAAAGTTATAAACTGTCGTCAAAGATATTGTTGTTCGCCGCTATTATGAAACTTTGAGACTTTAGCCACTCACGATTTATCGTTACTTTAACTGTTGTGAGGTTGTAACATTTATTGCTTTGATTTTTATAACACATTACTGACACGTTAAAAAAATAACACAATAATAAATCAAAAATTATTTTAGCTATTTTAATTATATCTTAACTATTTAAGTTTATCCACATCTATAATATAAAAATAACTTCAATTTTTTTTTATGTGCTTTATTATTTTTTTTCATATATAATAATATTTGCACTCTATATATTATTTAATAATTATTATTTTTGTACACGCGATTGTGTCATAAAACATAGATCTTAACTGAATGACGCAAAGCTGTTAATAAACCCTCTTTTTACAATTTTTTAAATTATTGTACATTAAGATCCAATTTAGACAAGAAATTAAAATAGACAAATGATAGCATGTTTGTATCATGTCGTGTATCATCCTAAAATATCTTAAACTATAAATAGAATTGTTTTATTAACACTTCCGAGATTTTAAACCGTTTTTGCTTGTAAAGCACTTTGTCTCTTTTCTCCACAATAAATAAATCATTTATTTTAAAGCTAGAATAAAAACAAGTTTTAAAATGCAACAAATTTGAATGAAATATGAATATGTATCAAGTCTAACAATAAGCAATCTTTTTGCAAATACATTTAACATATTCACATTCAAAATAATATAACATTGTTTCCTTGATATTAGGGATGCATGTATATTTTATTATTCTTACAAGAGCAATGCAAGCATATATTGATTTGCTCATTAAAGTACAAATGATACTTTTTTTATTCAATTATTCAATGCTACTTAACTCACCACGGAAGAGTTAAGGGCAAAATAAACGAGACAATATGCACCCTTCAAGAATTTCAAAGTATAAGCATCGGTTTTTCTCCACGGGCGATTATCACTCGACTCTCTCCTCCGTCGACTTATTTTTTCCCCACGACTAATTATAGATCGTTTCGCATAAATCTTCTCTAGAGAAGAAGGATAAACATCTCCGTCAATCTGTCCCCCCTATATGTCCGCCTGTATATCTCGCTCCTCCGGGAGCTTACTTAACCGCGACCGTAATTATCCCCCTTTTTCGATATACGACAACCTTTGCCCTTTAATCATATGTGCGATTATATATCGCAGAGATGATTCGCGCACGTTTCCTCCGTCTCGATACTAATTGCTCCGATTTGCTATATATCCCTACATCTTCCTCTTTCCCTCTTTCGCGGATTAGGGAGGATTTTCCCGATATTCAAATTGCGATCGATCTTTACCACTTTAGGCCGTCGACGATCTTAGGATCTCTTCTCTTCATCCTTTTTTTCCTTTCGTCTCTCTTCGCAATCGCGCGATGAATCACATGTCCCGATCGCTCGTACGCGAGCGCAACTAGACCGACACGATGCACGTCCGAGGATGCGCGGCGCACTGAAAACAGCCCGGCGTCGCGGCTATCGCCAGGGTGAGAAGCGACGCCAGGCGTTGGCGTCGACTCTCTCTCTTTGCACGCCCTCGTCACCGACCACGAAGATCACGACGACGATGGAGTTGGCGCGTGTCCAGCTTCGAGCGAGCTTTTCGGGGAACTCTTCGTAGGGAAACTACCGGAAATCGCACAAGATTCATATCTAACTAAAGAACCGTATCGATATAATGTTCTTTTATCGCGACACATTTATTATTTAAGCGCAACATTAAACAAATTGGTATATAATATTATTGTGTGTGAGAGAGAGAGAGAAAGGGGTGAAAGAAATAGTATTTACAGAAAAAAAGAAAAAAATATCAATGTGAAAAAAACTCCTCGCGTGCTTCAATTCTTCACAAGTGACATTCACTGTAATGGATTGCGTGAAAATTTTATTTTTATTGGATCAAAGAATTAAATGTAGAATTAAATTTATTTATTTTGTTATTAAATTAATTGTCAATTTTTAATCAGGAAAGTTATTATTTTATTTTGTCATAAAGATTTTTTTACTTTTAGCGTGTGAAAAATCGTATAAAATAGTGTCTGCTTGTTGTGTAAAAGTGAAATTGTTATAGCGATATTTAGAATAGAATTTCTTTTTGAATTTAATTATTTTGAATGAACATGGAATACATTTTTAAGGGAATAAAAATTTAAAAAATAAATTGTTATTAATCATTATGTAGTATAATTTGAATAGACTGCTATTTATTTATATGTTCATATAGTTACATATATAAGATTCATGCTTCTATTCTGTAAAATTTCCCCAAATTGAATAACATTATTAAATAATTAATTACGAATTTTAATCAAAGCATAAATTGAAAAAAATCAAATTTTATCTCACATCTTGTGTATTATTTTATATTTTATCATTTACTTATCATCTTATCAAAATTTTTTTTATATTTTTATTATCTTGAGAGTCTCAACCGCTCCACATTCTTTATGTGCTCAATATTTTTGTATATATGAAATAATTTTAGAATACTCTTTGAAAATTTTTCTTTTAAGCGACAAATGTCATTTTATTATCGAATCGCCACGTCATTATATCGGTGAACTGATCCAAATAACGTGTCATGATATTTGTTTTAAACACAAACTTGTTTAAATTCTGGCAATAGATGATGAAATCAGCAAAAGCTGACTCATATCTTTTCGCAAGAAGATGAAAGTTTTAAATCATTTAAAAAAAAATATTATGATATCTCTAATCTTTATTTTCGTACATATATCCTATTTTTTATTTTATCTCGCATTATAGGTATTTTATAGGAAATATCTTGTCTTTGTGTTCTATAATTGAATTATTTGCTTAATCTGATTGTTTATTCATGGTTTATTTTACATAGTCAGCATACCTAATTGCGAAAAGCACTACATCACTATTCTAATGAAATAAGCCACTATTCCAATAAAATGAATATAAGTTAATTTCAACAGAAATTGATCATTCTTTTCATGATTTTTACATTGAAAAAAGAAGAAAAATAGGATCATACTAATTATAATAATTTTATTACCAAATTCTAATATAATTAATTAAAATAAAATAATTAAAAACCATATTCTTTTGAAATAAGTAATAGAACATATTCTAGAATAAGATAAATTCTAGAATTAAGTAATCACAAAATTGAATTTTTATCACTCATGTTGATTCACAATGTGTTCTTGCATTATTTAGGAGCAAATTCCCAGAAGATACGTATTTTTAAGAATAGAATACCGAATTACGATGTTGATTATCAGTTCAAGAAGAAGATACGCGCAACTAGAAACTGAAAAGATAACAATCTTCAGTTTCACAAAAACTGTTTCGTAATTTTTCGTCAAAAATATCTATATTTTATTAAACAAAAAATGTATAATTTTTTTATTCGTACTAATTGTTAGATTTTGTTTTTATAAAAATTAGTGTATTTACAAGTTCGAAGGAATATCTGTATTTATGCTCAAGTTTTTATTTTTATTGTAATAAATATATTATCTTTAGCAAATTGTAATACCAAAGCCTTTTCTGTGAGATTTAAAAAAACAAAAAGTTTTTTCATATGGAATTATATTAAAACACAAAATATTAATAAAATACATTATGTATAAAATTATTAGAATACTTTCAATTTTTGAATACCAAATATTTCAAATTAAATTTAAATTATTATTTAAATTTGAATAATTTACATTTGTACTTGTGGTCAAGAATAAATGTATATATGTATATTGTAAATCTCAGAATATTTAAAATGTCTTGATTTTTATTTAACTTTAAAATGCTTTTGGTGTTAAACTTTCTTTACTAAACTCTTTGTTAACAAAATTAAATATAAATACCAAGACGAAAAAATAACAATATTACAATATACATATACTTAAAAATATAAAAAAGCATTAGCGTCGCATTCTTTTCGTTCCATTCATCCGTTCGGCATTAGACTAAACGATGCGGGTATATTTTTGACTTGTGGCAGTTTAAAGCTATTTCAAGACAAAGCCGAGTCAACCTTCTGCGCCAGGATTTCAGTTTCCCGCTTTCTTCTTCAGTCTCTTTCTTTATATCTCTTCCAATCTCTTCTGTATTTTTCTTGTTATTTCTTTTTATTTTTTGGTCCCTGGAAAAAACACTTTTTCCTTTAAATATATTATCTCTCCGACTCCATGACTCGATGTTACTTTCTCGGTATACATATTTTACACGACTAATTTCAGCGTATCAAAAATAAACTTTTAAGTGTAAAAAGAAAAAAGTGTCATCTATTTACATAAATTAGTTGAGAGGCTCGACATTTATATTCTTAAGTAAGTTTTAGTAATAAATATCTTACATAATTTGTAATTTAATTTTTGTTCTGGTTTTTTAAAATTTAATTAGCATTATATATATGTCAGATATATACATACATTTTAAATAAAAATATCTGACTTATTTTATCAAACACTTCAATTTGATCATATTTTATAATCATGCAAATATTACTAGCATATGTGTACAAAAAGTATGCCCAAGATAAACAATAATCTCTGAGGTCAGCGGGATAATCTATATGACGATTCAACACGCACAATCCAATCGTGGTGCGCCACATTCGAAATTAGGTAGCCCTAATTGCAAATGCCATCCGTTGCGGATGATCGCTTCGTGCGAATTGCTTATTTCGCTATTAGTTCACCAGATCCGCGAATCCGCGGCGAGCATAATTGACTCAACTGCTCACTACAAATTGTATAATTCGCGTTGCTCTCAATCGAGTCCAATTAAAACGATCAATGTACTGACAAACAGCAATGAACTGAATTTTCATGCTGTCCGAAGCGATCTAGAATTCGTCATATATAAATTGCCGACATTTTTGTTATGCGCGTCGGAAGTAAAAATCGATTTTTAATTACAACTTGATAGCGAATTACAGGCGCCGTCGCGGAAAGTCGATCGACCGGATCAAATTTACGTCAGTTTTCTGTTCGCGATAATTATTATTCGCGTGTTGATATGTATATTAATTTTTCCGTTGAAAAATCGACATTGTTGCACTTCAACACTATTGATTACTGTGTCAGAAATTAATTTTTTTATTGTGATAACTTTTATATATATTTTTTTTTATGTATATATAATATATTCTGAAGATGCTGTCATATATTGTTTTCCGGAAAGACATTAAAATCTTAATAAACGCAAACCTTGTATAACATATACTCCAAAGTCATTTTAGTGCTTCAGGCTATTATTTAACAATTATAAAATTTGTTCTTTTCAATTACATTACAATTCTTTTTTTTCTTACATTACAGTTTGCGTAAACCGTTTTTATGCGTAAATTCTCAATTGAGAATTACCTTCCAGCAATCAACGGAATCTGCGTGAATCTGAAAATCAGTGAATAATTACAATTTCGCGAAATGTATACGAGACTTAGGAATGTAATTTATATATTATTAAAAATGCAATAAAATTGTAAATATTTGTTTAAGTTTTATTATACATTTTTTATTAATTTGTGTGATAAAAATATTTTAACTGTTACTTATTTCTTCTCAAAGCTGTTCTAACAATAAATTTAAGATGAAAGCGCACACATTCTTATTCAAAGGGCGCATAATATATTTTATATATTTTATGATGTGCATATAAATACACACACACACACACACACACACACACACACACACACACACACATATATATATATATATATATATATATTTATCTAATAAACGTAAATGTAGCATTACTTACTGCATTATAATAATTGCATTAAGGAAAACCACAAAGTGCATTTTGTATTGTAATCAAACAAAGACTTAATGGAGAATTGAAGCATTCAATTGCAAAGTAACCAGGTATATCTGTCGCATAGAATATAATTTTGCAAGAGCTATTGATAACGCTGATACATAGGGAAGCACTATCGTGTGCATTAGAAACATAAGTGGTATGTCATTTAGGAGCTGCGTAAACAGTTTTAAGTGCATATACGTAAAGGCCAATATATGCAAAGATAGGAGTTAATGCAATAATAAATAAACGTAGAACATTATATCTCTAAATTACTCAACAATTATTTATTTTATTTAATTCTTTGTTGTAATGCAATCTAAGCAACTATGAGATTATTAAATGAAAGGAATAATTTAAAAAAGATTAAATTGTATAAAGAAACATTAATACTTAAAAAGATAATAAAAATATTAATTTATTTCGTAAATATTTTAAATATCTAAAATATTTTAAATATCTTTCTTTTCTTCTTTCTTTCGTTTTTTTAAATAATAATTTAAGAGAGAGAAATATATATGTGTGTATAGCGGATAGCAAATAAATTAAGTTTTTTATCAAATAAAACTATTATCATAGCTATTCTCATACAATATAATAAATTTAAAAAAAAAAGGACTTTATACATACATGTAGATAGCAATCAAAGTTTATCAAATACAATACATCTGATAAATAAT